AATATTTAGAAGGAATCAGATCAGGTAAACAGAAGGTAGTCAACCAGAGGAATGAGTTATAAAAGAGGTAACGGTAAGGGTGGGTGGGTGGGTGGGTGTATAGTGGGGTACCAAAGAGGAGAGATAGAAGGAGGCAATTTGTGGAGTTTGTATACAAGAGAGGAAGGTAGGTGTGGAGATGGCTGATAGCTTTTTGTAGGGGTTCTGTGTGTGCCTCTAGGTGTTAGTTGAGTGTTCTGTATGTTAAAGAGGCTGAGGCTTTTGCGTGTTTGAGCAGGTGAAGGGCCAAGCATGGAGATTATTTGATCTACCTTCTGGCTCAAGGAGGACTCTGTCAATGCCAGAGATGAAAATCCTAGCCCAGGCAAGGGTTCACAGAGCGCCAGTCTGAGCCCAGCATTAGGTGGCTGCAAGTAGCGCCTCATTGATAACCTGGTTTTGCTCTTTTTTTAAAAAAAAGGATCAAAGAGAATGTAGCATACTATTTTCCTGGGTCAGCGTTGAACCTAATTCAATTTCTTGCAGTTTAACAAAAATAGTTGTTTTTAAAGAAGTTCAAACTCCAAATATAAGTAAAGGACATAAAAAGTATGAGATGGAGGTTTTGCCCTAGTGATTATGTTTTCAAATTGAGTGTCTGACCTCCATAATTGGGAATGGCATATTTTGTTATAGTCTATTTTAAGAAGTCCAACTTATTCAGATGCAATTGGCAAATATGGATAAATGTTGATTTATTTTTTTTTGTTAAGCAGATTGTACATAATTTAGTTTATTGTATACATGTAGCAATGCATGTGACTTGTGTCACTCTTTTTTATATGTTAAGAATCCGTAATCCGTAGTGAATCCATTAGCCATTTGTAAATGTGCATCTGTGCATTAATATGTATTCTTAGTTATTACTTGAAGAGAGCTTATTGTTTCTTTGTTCTCTCTGATATCTTAAATAGAAAATATTATAGGTATAGATAAGGAATATACAGAAGACGAAGGCTGTAGGATTGCTAATCATAGAATACAGAATATGAGTATTCATGTTTGAAGCATATGAATGTAATTGAGACCTGAATGTAATTGAGGTCTAGTATCCAGATGGTTCCACAAATGTGCTTACATGCTTTCTATATCATATGCTACCAGGCCGTCAATGGAAAACCCTAGGAAAAATGACACTCGTTCAATACTTCTTCCACTTCTCAACTGTCCAAGGTAGGCAGGTCGTACGGGAACCTTAATTCTTTCTGTGTTGCCACATTCAACATAAATTGTATTGTTTTCAATTCTGCCATTTACTCGCAGCAAGAGTTCCTTTGTTGCTTGTTCTTTCCATATATCTCCATTCTGCCAGAGAGAATGCAAATTTGGAACATCAGAAAAGCGCTGATCAATTTTGCCTTTGTGGATTAATCTTTTTAATCCATTCCCTTTTCCCAGGTAGAAATGTGCAATGGCTTGTTTAGCATTGCACATATGTTTATATTGCACCCTAAAGGATTTTCTCATGGCATGAACATATTTCTCTAGGTATTTAGAATCATTATCTAAAACATGCATGTTATGAGGCCAGAAGAGTAACAGTGCCAAAAAGTAGGGTTCTAAATGTTCATGGTTCAAATCAACTTTGTCTAAAATCTCTCTCAGGTATTTTTTTAAAGACGGATCTGTGCAGATTTGTTTAGAATTTGGATAAACACAACGAAGCACAATGTTTGCAAGAATGAAGTTCTCTTTGTCTCTTATTACAAATTTGTCTGTACGGTTTTCTAGTAAATATCCATATGCTCGTACTATGACTTCAATCTCATGTCGATCTTTTCCATGATCTGTAAGATATTCTAGAATTCCTGGGAACTTGTGAGCCTTGTAACCTTCGATGCCGGCCCTACAATCAGAATGCAGTGAAGGGCTGCTTTTCTGAACTGCTTGGGAGTCTAAAAGTTTAGTGAGATCTTGATCACAAAAGGTCTTTCGATACTTTTTGAAGTAGTCAGCAACTTTTTCACGTATTTTAAAGTCTGCACTTTCCTTATGAATGTTTTTTTGTTTCAGATGTACAAAGTAATCATTGAAGAAATCAAAAGCCATCTGTAAGTGGGATTTAATTTTAATAAGAAAGTACCTAAACTCGGTGAGAATATCATAAACTTCCTTATGGTTTGTACTGTCTTTGTCAACTGAAATATCCCATTTACCAGACAGATACTGAATTAGGTGATTTTTAGATAGCTTATTTTTTGAGTTGAACCATGGTAACCTAAAAAGTATGTCTATTGTATAAAGACATACCTCTATCTGTCCAAGGTATCCTGCCGTGTTATACACATTGTACCATTTAGAATTTGTCCATTCTGATTCTTCTCTTTCAGACTCTGTCTTTCTTGTTTGCTGTTGACAGTCATTAAATGCTTCCGAGGCAGCAACTGCGCTATCTAGAAGAGAGTTTAGCTCACTTGGTGTTAAAGAATGTCTTTTGTTACATTCATCCATCATACTTTTCAATTTTGTTTTGTGTATTTGCCCCAAAGTGTCCAAAACAAATGAATTATTAGGTGCAATCTTTTTTGCTTTGTCTGCCCATTCTGAAGCACAGTTGAAGTTCTTCTCTCTAATGTAGTAGTGCCGTGCTAAGGCTTGGAAAATGAATGCATATTGGTTGAATCGGAGGGATCCCTCTTTTAGAACAGTTTCAACACTCTCGTTACCCTCGTCTTTTTGTATTTCTTCAATTAATGGAGAAAAGAGTGTGTCTGTTTCATCGCCATGTTCTTTTCTGTGCCTTGTGACCAACATACTTTGCATATTCTGAAAAAACATTTCTTTTCCGATTCCTTCAACATGAGTATTTAAAAGAGTCAACATAATTTTACTTTGCTGTATTCCATAGGTCATTTTTAACTCTTCTATGCATTGACTTGCAATGAGAGGGTGGATTATACGCAGTCCTTCATATCTGCCATATTCTTCCACCTCAGTGCGGATTAAGATTGTACAATAAGTACCCATTTTGTCTTCTATGCTCTCATTTCCCCAGTATGTTTGTTTTGCAGTTATTCCTAAAATTTCTTCACACATAGAAGCTGAAATAGTGGAATTTTTAACATATTTGTTTAACAAAGCTAAAAAAGAGATAAGATCGGCTTCTTTGCTAGCGCTGTTTAAGCCTTTTAGTAGATTTCTCACAACATTTCTAATATAGCTGTCAGCAAAATTGCTTTTCATTATCATGAAAGAGTAGAAATCTTCTGGTTTACTGTGATTTCTCTCAATCTCCTTTAGTTTGGTTTCAAAAGCCCTCTGTTCCTGAGGGGACAGTTTATGCTCTAGAGCTACACTAGAAGTACAATCTGCCTTTGAACTTTTTACTGGAGTTTGAGACCGCATGCAGTTCAATATGGTGACCACAGGTCTTTCAAATTGTATGTTCTTTTCAGCAATGGCTGTTCTAATGCAATTCTGCAGAACATATATATTTTCATCCTCCTCATAATCATCTACCAAAAGCAGAACAGGAAAATATTCCATAGGACTTGAACCATGAATGGCAAGATTTGTGACGTCTCTTGCTATATCTTTAAAACTATCTGTCTTTCTTTTTAAAGTTGCACATCTAAATTTTTCTTTCAATTCCCAGAGAATATGCATTGCAGAAGTCGAACCTCCACAACCAGGATGGTGATACACAGTAACTATTTTTACACTTGTTTGTTTCTGACATTCCTCTATCAATGTCTTTAATGCATTGTGAATGTCTCTCTTGATAAATGGCCCTGTGAAGGATTTACTTGAGAAATAGAAATTCCACCAGGTAGCTTTTCCTCCTTTGTAAAAGTGTTCCTCTTGTGTTGTCTTGAATTTTTTAAATTCCTCTTCATTTTTCTCCAGCTCTGTCTCTTCACATTCATTTGCGCAAAGAATGTCCAAACAGCTCATTACTTCTTTATCTTTTTCCTGAAGAATGATAGTGGAAGACCCTTGTGATGGCAAAAAGAGATGGGAGGATTTAATCATAGATTTTAGTTTTAGAATTGTCCCATTTACTTTTTTAATGTCTAAGTTGAAAATACACCTGTCTTCCATATCTTCTATATCTAGTTTTACCTGTAGATCTTTCCATTTTTGGTAAGTGTGTTCATTTTCACAAATGCATAAAATGTCATCTATGCCACCAAGTTCCTGGTAAAAAGTACTAAATGTTTCATTAATGGGATCTGCACAGTCATCAACTGCAGAAAGTAACAGAAAAACTACAAGGAATTTACCACGTTCCAGTATATTCTTCTGTGAAAGAAAAGAAATAAGCTTTCTGACCTCCGCAGCTTTTTCTTTCTGCCATGACCTATAACTTAATGGTTCGTATTCCTTGGTGTCGAGATCTGACCTTCCATTACAGAATATCCAGCTGGTTTGTTGAAAAAGTTTAAGTGATTCGGGTCCTTCATTTCCATTATTCTGATAATGACTGGGAAAATGTAAGTTTGCTATTCTTTTATCTCTGTAAAATTTACACAGACCATTTGTAAGTGACTCTGAGTCGAAATCCAAAACAGCAAACCACTTTATTTCATGCATAAAATCAAGATGTTCTGTTTGGCTAGGATGACTTTTGTTTGCTACTAGAATATACCATTTATAGTAGGAGTTGTCCAGTGTACCTCTGTTGCCTGTTATTAATTTTACAAGCTTCAGACCATCGTCTTGTGATTTTATGTGGCTTCTACTGTGAGTTTCCTCTGCCATTTTTCTAGCGTCATCTCTTGCCTTCATACAAGACAAAAATTCTTTGTAATCTGCATCATTATTTTGTACATTGGCAAGTATATCTTTGGAACTTTCTCCATCTCGTTTAAAACAAGACTTATTTTTACACTTTTTCCAAGTTTCATTAAAATTTTGTTGATATGTAAAGAATATTTCATCTTTGCAATAGGCATGTTTAGGGACCACATCAACTTCAATGACAACTAGGTTGGAATGTGTGTTTTGTTCAGATAATATGTTGACAAATCTTGGTGAACGAATACATTGTTTTGCCAATCCAACTTGTTTTATCTCAAAATACTTGCTGATCATTTGGTCAATGTACTTGACAAAGGTTTCGGTGTTGTCTATTTTTATACCAATTATTTGCCCATGTGGTTTATCTCGGACTCCAAAATGGATTGTACCATTCGTTCGGACATTCATGCATGCAGCTGCAAACCGAAAGACCTCATTGCAAAATTTCATTTTTCTGTCTTCTTCTGTTGCATTTAGTGTATTAGTAAACTCTTTGTACTCATGAATGGGGTCAATATAATTAGTTGTGCCAGATTCAGGTGGAAGGAAATGAAACTGTGTGTAACATTTACTTTCATTGAATCTATCAAAAGGGTATGGTGTGCAAGTGACTTTAGAAGGTTTGATAGCTAAATTCCCAGGTTCTTTTGATTCATTTTCCCCGTCATTGCTTTTCGCTTTCACATCCTCTTTACTTGGGATCTTTTGTTTTGTTTTTGCTATCTCTCTTTTGTTTGTTGAACCCAAATTTATACTTTTTTTTTCATTCTGACTTGGTGTAATGAGTTTTTTTATTTTATGGGTTATTAAAATAGCAGTGCCGTGTGTAATTCCCATATCTGTTAAGTCTTTTTTAGACAATATTTGGAGAACCTCGCCTGTCACATTTTGCTTGAATAAGATTTCCACATCGTTTAAGTCAATATTTAAGCTCTGTGCAGCCCAGAGCTTTACGTGGTCCTTAGTCCAGTCTTCAACTTTTTTAGGCAAATCCATAAGTTCAGCCATTTTAATTCCCTGCTTCTGTGTTATCCTAAAATACAAAAGAATATCATCATTAAACGATTATATTTTTTTCAACTGGAAAATATGTTGTTCAAACAAAAAAAGGTTAATCTAAAAATTCTTCTCAATGTTGCCAAAAGTATAAAAAACACCATCATTTTCTATTGGGTGGACAGTCCTGATGAACGTCCCGATCTGGGACTGAAACATCAACTTTGATACACAGAACTGTAATTACTTCCATATGTAATTAATTCAATATAAGTAAAGATATTTTTTTTATTATGTAAATAAATACATATATCTATATAAATATATATAAAAAAATCTTAAATTTATGTGTAAAGAATAACAATATTTTTTTTGTTTATGCCTTTTTAGATGAGGAATATATATTAGAAAATAATACTAAAAGTAATAACCCCTCTCTTTTTGGAATTTTCTAAGCTTTTTAAAAAATAAATATAAATAGCAATTTAACCTATATACTTACTAAAGGGAGGGACACTCCTGGCTCCCAGACCACTTCCTCCCATTGAAGTGGTCTGGGTGCCAACTCCCATCACCCTTAATCCCAGAAGTGTAATTATTGCAGTTTTTATAAACTGCAATAATTACCTTGCAGGGTTAAGTCCTCCTCTAGTGCGCATTAGGTCTCCCCCGCCGGCTGACCGCATCGGGCAAGCAACGTGGGCGGAGCCTGACCCAGCACCGAGGGACATCAGCACTGGATTCAGGTAAGTCACTGCAGGGGTTTTAACCTTCAGCAACATGGGATGGGAGGGGGACATGGGGGATACTGCAGGGTCCTGCAGTGCCAGAAAAGCGGATTTGTTTTCCTTTCCCTGGAGAGTCCCTTTAATTATATACATGAAATAAAATTAATTAACCACTATGGGGATCAGATATGATCGCCTTGTTACAAAGCAAATGTGGGAATTTGTAAGTGCTATCACACTGAAATAGGAGTTTTAGACCTAGAAACATAGAAACATAGAAACATAGAATGTGACGGCAGATAAGAACCATTCGGCCCATCTAGTCTGCCCAATTTTCTAAAAACTTTCATTAGTCCCTAGCCTTATCTTATAGTTAGGATAGCCTTATGCCTATCCCATGCATGCTTAAACTTCTTTACTGTGTTAACCTCTACCACTTCAGCTGGAAGGCTATTCCATGCATCCACTACCCTCTCAGTAAAGTAATACTTCCTGATATTATTTTTAAACCTTTGTCCCTCTAATTTAAGACTATGTCCTCTTGTTGTGGTAGTTTTTCTTCTTTTAAATATAGTCTCCTCCTTTACTGTGTTGATTCCCTTTATATATTTAAATGTTTCTATCATATCCCCCCTGTCTCGTCTTTCCTCCAAGCTATACATGTTAAGATCCTTTAACCTTTCCTGGTAAGTTTTATCCCGCAATCCATGAACCAGTTTAGTAGCCTTTCTCTGAACCCTCTCTAAGGTATCAATATCCTTCTGAAGATACGGTCTCCAGTACTGTGTACAATACTCCAAGTGAGGTCTCACCAGTGTTCTGTACAATGGCATGAGCACTTCCCTCTTTCTACTGCTAATGCCTCTCCCTATACAACCAAGCATTGTTGGGTGAGGTGGACAATGGTATGTTCACCTCCAGTTATCATTTATACCCCAAGAAAAAACTCCAAAAAGACTAGCCAATAGCTAATAAAATCTTGACCTTTATTCATGATAATCTAAAGAGACGCAGGGGCAATTAAATAAATTAATTAGTATTATGTAGATAGGTAAGAAGGAATTTGTTATTGTTGGGGAGGCCAGGGGATTGAGGACAGCTAGGTACTCGGTGGGGGGGATTGCGTACATTGTTGGGCGAGGTGGACAGTGGTATGTTCACCTCCAGTTATCATTTATACCCCAGATATCTATAGGTGTAAAGGAAGGGTGGGTACACCAAGGCACATATCTTTCCACTATTATTGTCTTTAATAACCCCCACATGAAGTCTATGGGTTGGGGAGCGGCTAAGGGTTGAATAAAAACATGTCCATGTCTTCCTGGTTTTTTTTTAAATACACCCCACCTGTCATGCAGAGGTGGGGTGAAGGGCATGTATTAGTGTTCCCTCACTTGATTTTAGAGACCTGCCACTTATAGATGTTGGATGTGAAGCTTTGGTATGCCCTCCGTTTTTTTTGTTTGTTTGTTTTTTACAGAGCCTTCACCCATGGTCATGGGTGGAGACAGGCGGGCTCACAATAATCTGTTTACGCTCCCAACATGTGTCAGATCTTCCTTGTCCTTTATTTCCAACTATATGCCTGCTGATTCCTAGTACTGCCAGTGAGCATATAGCAAAATATATTAAAAACGTTTATTTGTTGAATCCGAAAGGGCTTTTTATCAGTCGATATGTGATGTCAGTATATTTATATCGGCAGACATTTTGTGCTAAGACAGAAATTAAAAGTGTATACTGCCAGTCACTCTCAGAACAGAGGTTACTCCATTTTGTATTACAAGGCTAAGACAGACACAAGATTTCTCTCTGTAACTCTATTCATTCAAGTCTGAGCTAAGGAATGCACTTATGTAAACAAGACAAGTGATAAGGCATAATGTCTAACAGTCAAAAAGTGGGATGGAATACTACATACAACCCAGAGACAAATGTGTGTGTGTATATATATATATATATATATACATATATATATATATATATATATGCAGAAAATAAGAGATGCACTCTAAGGACTTATATAATCGATAATAAAGTATTTATTAAAAAGAAGGTTTACATAATAAGATCGACGTTTCGACCCCTCAGGGTCTTCCTCAAGATCAATATGTCTAAATCTGTGAAATCAATAAATAGTAAATTTAGGAAAGTACTCACCGATGGTGAACTGCCTCCTCACCCTCTCCGTGCATACCGGGAAGTGAACCCGCGATCACGTGATGTGTCGTGATGCCGACGTGATGACGTGTGACTAGTTGCTAGGATACCAGTGAAACAAATTGTGGGTAAGAGCGTATGTAACACCGCTGTATAATTAAATATATAACAGTGTATCGATGTTGTGGAATATCTAGTATACTGTACATTGCAATACACAAATAAAGTGACAAGTGCAAATAAATAAGTGCCAGTGCAAGGATAAAAACGTGTGATAACACACTACAAACAAAACGTATGTGTGTTACATAAAACCAAGTGTATAATAAGCTACTACCTTCTGTCAATTAGTCCAATAATACAAGGAAGAAACACATATAGTTATGATAGACATCTCCTAAGGCTAAAGCAGAATACCAGTTTAACAAGACGATCAGGGTAGTGTAAAACAAGACCACAACCCAACAGATGTGTGTTATCTAAAAGTATATATCAGCATAAGTAAATTAGAGATCAAAGGTAGATCATCAGATCAAAACAATAATGCTCATTCTCAGAGAGCTATATACTATTAATCCATCAATCACAAATAATAAAAGAAAAAAATTTTTTTTCAATATAACTAATGAAAAATTGTTATTTGATAGTTAGAATGGTCATAGACCTAACCAAAAAAAAATAGTGATATATACGGACAAAATGTAATCAATTATCACAAAAACACAGAAAATGTAATGTTTTCATTCAGCCCCCTAGGGGCAACTGTATCCAATCGATGTATCCATTGGGCCTCTCGTTGTAGTAACATCTTGGATCTATCTCCACCTCTTGGCATTGGAGGGATATGATCAATGGCAATAAACCTTAAAGAAGGTAATCTGTGTCCCATGGTCAAAAAATGTTTAGCCACAGGCTTGTCACTCTGTTGATCTCTAAATGCCGTCATGATGGTGGACCGATGTCCTCTTATCCGCTCACTTTATTTGTGTATTGCAATGTACAGTATACTAGATATTCCACAACATGGATACACTGTTATATATTTAATTATACAGCGGTATTACATACGCTCTTACCCACAATTTGTTTCACTGGTATCCTAGCAACTAGTCACACGTCATCACGTCGGCATCACGACACATCACATGATCGCGGGTTCACTTACGGGTATGCACGGAGAGGGTGAGGGAGGCAGTTCACCATTGGTGAGTACTTTCCTAAATTTACTATTTATTGATTTCACAGATTTAGACATATTGATCTTGAGGAAGACCCTGAGGGGTCGAAACGTCGATCTTATTATGTAAACCTTCTTTTTAATAAATACTTTATTATAGATTATATAAGTCCTTAGAGTGCATCTCTTATTTTCTGCATATATTCCATAACGTGGGATTGCACCAAGGCACTAAGAAATTCATTTTGAATTGGAGAAAGGGTGAGTGCCAAGCTTTCTGTACATATATATGCTATCCCCTTATAACTTACTATTATTATATTAATCATATATAATTAGTATCATGTTAATAATATAGACTATTCATGGATAAATATCAATGAAGAAATATCATATTATTTACTAATTTTAGTGGAGTATAAATAATCTTAAACACAGTTTCACACATGAACACCAGACACCAATGACAGATAACACTAAGTAATTAATTTTACAAAGTTCCATTGTAAGAAAAGGGTGTAATTAAGGTTAGGAGGTGTCAATTCTAAAATTACGATTGAAATTGCAGACACTAAGACTGGAAAAACCAAAGGAAAATGCTTTGAAGTGACATGTCCTGTTATTTATAGTAAAAATGAAAATCCAGCGCACTCACTTATCTACTAAACAGCTACTTTGGTGCTGACAGATTTTGCTAGTTTTATTAAAAAAAAAACTAATCTAGGCAAAAAATAATGGGGGTTTAGTTACATTATATGATCATACATTGCATAAGCCTGCTACAACGTCAATGTAACCCATCTTTGGCAGGTCCTACTCTGTCTGCTAAATGAGCTACTTACTTGGGGGGGGGGAATTCCATCTCGAGTTCTCTGCAGTACAAGGCTAAATAGGGTCCTGAGATAAGACACCTGTGGCAAGGAGTAAAAATCCTCTAGTGAACTTCCTCTAGGATCTAAGAGAATTAAAAATCGTGGGGACAATTCTCAGCTTTATTATTCGGGGACAGTGCCAAGATATCAATTTTGATATAATAAAAATTATTAAACAGAAGGAAGAGTAGTCAAACAAGCCAAAGTCAAAACCAAGAATACAATACTAGAATATAACACACTATTGGGACTGTAAGAACCACAACAGGGCAAAGTGATAAGGGTGAACCAACCTTTTATATTATGGTTCTTTAATTTTGAATCCACGTCCCCAAAACGTTTGAATTAGGACGTTTCGGCGGGCTGTGACGTCATTGGCGTCATGACGCCGGCAGGCACGCACCGCGGTGATGTCATTTGTGCCACGACGTTGGTGCTCGTGTGCCGCAGCATATAAAAAGGGGGTGCAACAGTGGCCGCTGGATGCAAGCCTGGGACTGAGGAGATGATCCCTCTCTTCTTGCAAACAGTCCCCAACCCAGGTAAGCATGGCAGGTGCCCTTACAATACCAAAAGCAAACAAGTATACCACAGCTTTGAAATGGTAGGTAAAAATACACTATAACACTAGTATCAGCACTTAGTGGATATAAGCACTTAGTTCTATTTTAAATCAAAAGGGTATCAAAGATAAAATAATTCTGAGAGTTCTATATATCAGTTCTGTAATTTGCCAATAAAAGGATCCAGAATGATAACACGAATGTCAGAGTTTTTATTTGCAGTCCCACTCTCCAATCCAACATAGTATCCTCTATTCGGTGAGCATGTAGCCATCTGTCACTTTAAGCAAATCTTTGTCTTAGGTGATATTTATACACCTGGGGTTTCCAACCTGCAGGCCGCATGCCGGTGTGCAGGAAGCAGCAACCACTAGCAGAGGAACAGACAGTGGCGTACACACAACCCATGGGGCCCCGGTGCGAAAACTGATCCGTGGACCCCCCCCCCCCCACGCTTACTCTGCGCGAGCTGGGGCCGCAACACATGGTGGCGGGCACCTGTCGCAGGGCTCTGACCCCTGCGACCGCGGTATGTACACCAGTGCATGCAGATACACATACACTTAAAGGACCACTACAGACACCCAGATCACATCAGCTCAGTGAAGTGGTCTGGGTGCCAGGTCCCTCTAGTTTTAACCCTGTAGCTGAAAACATAGCAGTTTCAGAGAAACTGATATGTTTCACTGAGGGTTAATCCAGCCTCTAGTGGCTGTCTCACTGACAGCTTCTAGAGGAGCTTCCGCAATTCTCACTGTGAAAATCACAGTGAGAAGACGCTGAACGTCCATAGGAAAGCATTGAGGGATGCTTGGTGAAACCTTTTCAGTACTAAATGTTTATGAATGACATAGTAATTGTGTGTAAGTCTATGGGACTGTGATTGTATGCATAGGTATGTGATTAGGATTGTTTGTATGTATAGGTCTGTGATTGAATGCTAGTTTTTGTGTGTGGGTCTGTGATTATGTGTGTGTATGTATAGATGTCTCGGTTCTCACCCCAGAAGTGTCCAACAGGTGATTTGAACCTGGGTACTTTGCTATCGTGGGCCTGCTAGCTACCTTTCAGCCACAACAGTTCTTAGTCCTTGGCTTGTCTGCAGCACTGGGGGGCTGGACTTCATATATTGCTGTGCTTCACCTGAGATTGATCAGTCATCAGCTGGGTATATAAGCACTGCCTTGCCCTGAGAACTTTGTCAGTTCTTTGATCCTGGTTTATGTGTTCAGTTCCTGTTTTCAAGTCTCCTGAACTTGTATTCCATATTGACCCCGGCTTCTGACTTTGTTTATCCTGTCATCCTTTGGCATCGGCTACTCTTCGTTTATCCTGACCTTCTTGTCGGTACTGCTTTGGAATCACCTTTCCTGCACAGCCCCGTGCACAGATTCACAGTCCAGGTGGCTTCTTACCTGGTCACCTTGGACTGTGTCTATCTGCAAGGGTGAGCAAACATATCTGAGCTACAAACTCCATCCTCAGGTAAAATCCCTAACAATAGGTCTGTGGTTGTGTGTGTGTGTGTGTGTGTGTGCGTGTGTTTATTTGTGATTGATTGTGTGTGTGTGTGTATTTGTGATTGTGCGTATAGGTCTGTGTGTGTATATCTATGGTTATGTGTGTACATGTAAATAGCTCCCTAATTATCCAATCCCACATAAGGATCACAGATAAAGTAGTTATCCATTAAACAATTGAAATATCAAAATTAAGCAAATGGCTTTTAAAGTTTTATTACTTTTATACTTTATCTATATTATATATTTGATGTGTGGCCCAAGACAATTCCTCTGTGCTCAATGCAGCCAAGGGAAGCCAAAAGGTTGGACACCTGTGTCATATAACTTACTGCTTTCAGCTACAAAAAACCCCCCCCAAAAATGAACTGCTCAGTGCTAAATATTATCCTACAAAGATTGGGGACCTAATAAAAGTAATGACAGATTGGAATGCCCATAGATTTAACAAGGCAGTTGAATGCCCATAGACAATAATGGAAGTATAAGGAATGTTCATAGAGAATAACAGAAACAAAATATTTCAGTTAGAGACAAAACTATGACATTTTAAATAAATATTTTACTGGCATTCTCTCAAAGTTCAGTGTCATTTTTAAAATTGAGATTAAGTGGGATCATCAATGTTTTCTATGGAATGACAAGGGTGAATGAATAAATAGAATGCCCAGAGTTATCCACTTACTACAGTGCCAGCTTTTCCACCAAAAAGCTCACCAGCTCACCTATCTCTGTCCCCATACAGCTACTCAGTTCTACCTGTGTTCCAAAATAGCTAGTTAGTGACATCTATGTGCCCAAATAGCTTATTAGTGCCACCTGTGTGCCCAAATAGTTTATTAGTGCCAGATCCAGAACCTAATATTGGAAGAGGGCTGTAGTGGGGTGATAGGGGCTGTAGTGAGGAGGTAGGGACTGCAGTAGGAGGGTTTAGGCTGTTGTGGTTGTGACACTGAACTCTAAGAGTATGCCTGAAAAAGATTTATTTGTTCTGTCTCTAATCCAAATAGTTTGTTTTCATTATTCTATATTGGCATTCCTTTCTGCTCCTTTATTGTCAATGGGCATTCCATACTGTCATTCCTTTTAGTAGGTCCCCAAAGATTGGCAAATGGTAGATCCCCAGCTGGAAAAGCATTGTGGAACTTGTACAACAATTGCGATCTACCTCTTTGCACCCTTGCGATAGGGAAAAGGGAGCAAACAAATTATTGCAGCAGGGCACTCTCTATGTTGGTTCTTTCACTGGTTCCAACAGTCATATACCCCCACTTCCATGACCCTGAATCTTCCAAGTTAATGTATCTACACTTACTTCCCCTACGTTCATGTCCATACAATCACATCCCCGATGTTAATGTCCCTGCACCCTCCCACAAGCACACTTGTACTCCTACTCTTCTTAGTTCCTCTTCTAGTCTCCTTGAAGCCACATCTTCTTTTTGTAATTCTCTCCATAGTGTGCCATGCAGAATTCAGGTAGGTACAAGGTAGCAACACGAGAAGCAGACAGATGTACCTTGTGTACATACCAAAGTCCAGGTTGTTGCAGGTTTCCATACAAGGGAATTTCACAGCCAATGTCCTCTGTCTGGCAAATGAAATGCCTGGCCAGAAACAAAGTGTGCAGTGCTGTTTGATTTTGGACAGATATTCAAAGTTGTATTTAAGCCACCTGCTGGACAGCGGACAAATAAAAAAAGACATGTCCAGCCAAAACCAGATGTATGGTAACCTAAGTTTCTATGGAAAGTAGTTTATCCTCCAACAGCAGTTCCATCATAATGATTGGAACAGTTGTGTAAATCAATGACAGTCATGTCACATCTGCCATTAGTTACACATAGCACAGCTCAGACATTATGCACACATCAGCAGAGCTAGATCCTCAGCTTGTCTCTCTCCACAGTTGACGCTAAGTTGTGATGGAATTTAGAGCCACCCTTTCAAAACCAGTGCTATGAGTTTATTACATTTACTATGTATAGCAGGTAATAATAAATAATAATATCTGATAATAATAAAAAAATATATAGCACCTACCTTTTTTTTTTAAATCTCCTTATACGTCTTTATAATGGATTTTGCATCTCTGTGTTCTTTGCTGTGTGTTTTTCTAAAATTACAGAAACATTAGACAAACAAGGAAACAAGTTGAAAGGGAGCTATGCATTCCTGTAGTGACGTATAAACTAGATATAGAACCAGTACCCAATGAGAAGCCCTTTCTTAATCTCTCCCAGCTCAATACAGTTTCTTTTTCCCTTATATCTCCTCCCCAGTTCTCTCGCTGGCTCTCTTCCTCTCTCAGAATTACTGTATAAACAACATTATGAATCATGCAAAACTGCATATTTTGTATCTATTAAGTTAAACATGTACTTACTCAGCTAGTACGATACATATTAACACATTTGTAGTGAGGTAATATGAAAACAGATTAATCCAGCTGCAACAAAAACAATATCCAGTTATGATGTTGCCCCTTTAAGAGCCCTCTGATTGTTAAGTTTCATTTCTTTGACATCTGGGTTGAACGCCCTTGTAAAATTATTTCGTGCTCAGGTTATGTTTCATTGTCTAAACACGAGTAGGATCTTTCCTACTGATCAATCATTAACATGGCAATATGAGCAACATTAACATTACTTATAATCAGATTTTAGAACATATGTCTGCTGATAGGTTAATAGTTAACATTTGATGAGCCAGTATCAGAATTATTTTCTTTATCCCCGTGCATACTAAAATCTGGGCTCTCCCACCTCTTTTTTCATCTTGCTTTTGTTATGCTGATATGATGCTGGATAAGAACGCTGCGAGTTGTAATCGGTGTCAGTACTATATTAGAATTCTTGTTTCTAAAACAGCACTGAAATAGAATTCCCACCAATTCCAGCCTGCCCCTGACTACTGAGTAGTTCTAGTGGTTGTCATACCTAATGGAGAGCTAAAAGCTACAGGGACCTCTGGGATGGATGGATCGATCTAGATAGACAGACAAATAGAGGTAGATGTATAAAAAGGTAGGTAGACTGAGACTAGAGATTGATACATAAAGTTAGATATTTAGACAGACAGAGAGAAACAGACAATATGGATCTGCGCACACACAAATTCAAAATATGGGGATTTAGTGACACTATATGGTGTTTAAGCAGACCACTTTTCACAAAGTATACTGTGCTACAAAAAAAAAACCTCCACAGGGACCAGAGGTGAAACTAGAAATCACTGGGCCCCAGTGCGAAGATTGCCCTGCCCTCTCCCCCCCCCCAGCCCCTCCATGCGTCTCATCCCTGCCCAGCCCCTCCATGTGTCTCACCCCACCCCTAGCCCCTCCATGCGTCTCATTCCACCCCTAGCCCCTCCATGCATGTCATTCTCTCCACACTACTGTAAAGTAAGTATTGTCTGTTTCTGTGTGTGTGCACGGGGATGCATTGTGTGTTTCTGTGTATGTAAGGGATGCATATTATGTGTTTGTGTAGGGATGCATTGTGTGTATCAGACCTCGCTACCACACCACGTCTCCCTCTCACTCCACGAGGAAGCCGCGTCGGAGCACAACTCTCCAGACAGCGTGGTTGGCTCAACCACCCATGATGACCACTCACTTTCATATGAACGCCACCTCTGTTCGTGCGAACACCACTTACCGAACATGGCAATTCAGAAGGCAGAATTCCGTTCGTACGAACGCTGGTTTCCAAACACTGCAAGACAGAAGGTGGAACTCTGTTTGTGAGAACGCCACAGCTTGCCACATGCGACCACACAGGAGGTAGAGCTTTGGGAGAACCAAAGGACGTGCACCGTAAAAGCCTTTTAAAGGTACTGGAGTTGGAGACCAGGGAGGAACTACAATAGACAAGACCACACACGCCCCCTATTTAAACCTCACACCCTTGATTCTTCGCTCAGTTGTAATGTGCTCCTGATTGTGCAAAGACCTTTAGTGACTGTCCTGCTGTATCCTGATTTTGACCTTTGCCTGTACCATTGCTTCTGAACCTGTGCCGCCTGTCCTGACCTTAAGCTTCCCTGACTAATCTTCATCTGATCCTTTTGTACTGTGAACTTGGTCCATTGCAGGGATGCATTGTGTGTTTATGTAGGGAAGCATGTGTACAAGAGCATGTTTGCTGAGTAGGATAGGGACAGTGGGGGCTAAGAAGGGACCCCGACTGGCCCACGGTCGCAGGAATCACAACTGTGACCGGGCCCATCACTTCAGGGGGCCCAGCCGCAGCTGCGATCCCTGCAACCGTGGTAGTTACCTCACTGTTGGGAACTTAATACAGTTTCTTCACATATTTACTATTGTGCTGTGAGTTGTAAGCCAACAAACCTGCCTATACTAGTGGCCAAGGAGAAAATTTCCCCTTCCATCCCTCCCCTACACTCAAAGTACCCTAATACAAAATTTTACTAACGCTAACCTATCCTAACATCATTGACTGACAGCCAGGGGAATGTAACAAGGTTCAGTTATAAAAGTGCCAATTTCTACTCAAATCTATACTTTTTGTAAAATAAAAAAAGAAGGCAGCCTCTTTATATATAAAGCACTTTATCAAACTTTTTTAATAAAGCAAACGGTAGGATGTCCTTAGGTTCCGCCTTGCCCACAACTGTGGTCAGAGGGTGTGGGCTGCTTACTGAATGGGGATGGCTAATAAAACAAACCCCTTCAATAGACATTCTTCTAGAGGGATCAAAAATATACAGTTCAGCTATTTATCAGATAATCTTGATCTTTACCGTGCTTGTCTTTCTCTCAGTGGTCACATCACATGCAATGAAAAAAGTGGGGAAAGAAAAGAAAAACTAATGTTGTAGTATATTGTCAAAAGTTAGGTGACAAAAACTAGATGTAAAAACGGCCACTCAAATGTCAGAGTTTCATACACTCTCCAATAGCAACACAATAATGTGGCATGATCACTGATTTGCACATATGTCTGCTGTGAGCGCCTCTAATGGTTCTAGCAGAGAAAATGTATCTACAAAAGAAACTCCGATAGTGCAATATTGTAAATGCAAGTGAAATAGAGTACACAAAGTAGTGGGAAAAACTCACAAGGAGGGAGCTGTCAACTAATGTATCAAGTGTAGGCCAACACCATCCCTGCCTATGGTTACATGGTGGACACGTCTTCCTCAGCAGCCTGGATTATTTTTGAGGAACGAGTAAACACTATGTAGTGCTCTCTGTAGCTTACAAAAACATGACTCGTGCTCTGCAATTAGAACAAAGATTTAAAACTAGCTGTTTCTTTCAATACACATCCATGGGGACAAAATGTTTACTAGCAAAGCATACAAATATAATTGTCACAGCCACAATTAATGATTGTTCATTTCACACCATAAAAAGGCAAAAGGCATGTGTGTTATTGTATACAAAACATAGAAAGCTGGTTTATCTGTTTTCATACTTGTAGCATTTTACAGTCATGTGCCCTTTAATGTCCCCGTTCACATTATTATTATTATTATTATTATTATTATTCTGCATCGCTTTACAATGGGTTTTTTCAGACACGAACTTATTTCCCCAATTCTGCATTCTCCTTGCATTGGATGGTGTCTAAAGAGAAACCAGCCATGGCTGTCCTTTGCTAAGATGGCATTTCTGCAGCCTACTAGCTCCCTCCATATTATCTGTATATTCAAATAGGTTTCACTGCTGAAGAAGACATCTAGACTTTGTAATTCAATACTACAGCACTGAAAGAATGACAATGCAACTCTTTGCAAGACAGGTGCTCTGAGCATTTTTTTTGCCTCTTGTGTTTAGCTCTAATGAGAAGTTATTGGACCAGTTGTCAAATTGACAGATGGGGAAGTGTAACAACGCTAATTTATAAAAGTGCCTATTGCACTTGTACAATGAAAAAAGAGGACACTCTCTTTACACATACTGCATTTCAGCAATACATTTGTATTCAGAGCGTTCCTTCAAAGTGAGGTTGACAGAGGGCAAGGATGTAACATGACTATCTTCTCAAAATGCAGCCTTCGGGCACTGACTCGACTATTCATGAAATGGGTACAAAAGGCAAATGGAAAAATAAAGCACAATTTAAAAATAATTATAGAAAAACAAAATCAAAGATATATTAATCTCAAATTTCAGGAAAAAGGCAAAAAATAAGAAAACATTCATTCATATGTGTTGCTGAGGGGAGTCTTTCAGGGTAAAGCCCCAGATATGAGACTCGTTGGCCTCTGATCTTTACAGGTAGTAGAGAGGGCAGGATGTTGTTAGTGCTTTTTTTAAAATTATTTTACAAGTTAACACCAGAATAGTGCTAGACAAGGCTACTTAGGACTTAAGATGGTTGCCGACAGGTAACTCTCTGGAGAGTTTCCTGGGGATCATATTTTTGCTGCACACCTTCTATTAGTCTGCATGCATGGTATGATTGCAATAAATACGTTGCTGTGCAGCCGGCGGTCCTTTCATTGAGATCAGACACTGTTTATGGACAGAGTGAGTACATAAATAGAGAAGTGGGTATGTAATGGCATATCTTCAACTTTCTGTTTGTAGGTGTCATTGAACTTTGTCTTCGCTTAAAGGACCACTCTAGGCACCCAGACCACTTCAGCTTAATGAAGTGGTCTGGGTGCCAGGTCCTTCTAGGGTTAACCCATTTTTTTATAAACATAGCAGTTTCAGAGAAACTGCTATGTTTATGAATAGGTTAAGCCTTCCCCCTAATCCTCTAGTGGCTGTCTCATTGACAGCCACTAGAGGCGCTTGCGTGCTTCTCACTGTGATTTTCACAGTGAGAGCACGCAAGCGTCCATAGGAAAGAATTGTAAATGCTTTCCTATGCGACGGGCTGAATGCGCGCGCAGCTCTTGCCGCGCGTGCGCATTCAGCCCAGGAGGAGGAACGGAGGAGGAGAGAAGGAGGAGAGCTCTCCGCCCAGCGCTGGAAAAAGGTAAGTTTAAACCCCTTTCCCCCTTCCAGAGCCGGGCGGGAGGGGGACCCTGAGGGTGCAGGCACCCTCAGGGCACTATAGTGCCAGGAAAACGAGTATGTTTTCCTGGCACTATAGTGGTACTTTAAGCTCCAGGTGTCTCTGAAACCCAGTAATGTCGGTCGGTCTTCACTAGAAAAAGATGGAAGTAGTGTGAGC